AACGTACTTTGAAAATTTTTTTTCAAAGTGCATAATTTTTTCAAAGTGCGTTGGCACAGGCCATACATCTTGCAAGAATTAAGTCACAAAGTTAACTACAGAACATATTAGGTAGCTATAACATAGAGTCGAACGTCAAAGGTAACATAACAACAGAACGTACTTGATGACTTTATCTTCTCTTTCCCCACCTCCATTTACTTAGGTAGCAATATACCCTTGTTACCAGCATATGAACTTTTGTATTCATATGAAGCAGGATTTGTCCAAATTTTTACACGTGAAAAGAAAACACTTGCTGTTGCCTCAACACGACATTTAGATATATTGATGACGTATTGTCAATCAACAATATAGTTATTTCTGCGATATATTCCGGTGAGCTTGAGACAAAAGATACCAGAGTCTGACACATCTGTTTCATATTCGGATATTTTACTTGAAAAAGACGTTAATGGTAATCTTGCTGTTGTCATTTAGACATTTAGATACCGGTGTTGTAGAGTAGGATTTTCCCCATAGGCAGCTTCCCAGCGGAAATCGTACTCTAGATTAGGATTTCCCACTGAGGGGAAATCTCACACCAGAGCCAAATTTCCCCCTCTTTCTTTCTCAGAGTAGGATTTCCCCCCTCGTTATAGAGTCAATATAAACCACAGCCGCAATATTTTTGTGAAAAAAAAGATAAACGACAAACTGATTTTCAAAAGGTAAATGTGTGGGTTTTTTTTTCGATTTATGTTGCAAACAAAAATGGATGTCTAGATTGGTATAAATTTTGGACCTATTTTGGTTGTAAATGATTTCAATCATAAACTTTCTAAAATATTAAAAAATTGTAAACTTACTATGATGTCCAAATTTTCACCTTTCTGTAACCATCCTTATTAATCTATACAATTTTTTTGTCGTATTAACACTCCTTAAATCCCATTTTTGTGAAACGTTTAATGACAAATTTAACTTTCATTTTACTTATTTAAATAAGATTGAAATGGTAATTTTCAATGTTTGTTTGTATCATCTGTCCTTAAATCATATTTCAATGGGGGGGGGGGGGGGCTCTGGGGAAAATCGCACTCTATACCTACTACACAGAGTAGGATTTACCCCAGAAAATTGACTCTAGTGTGAGATTTCCTGGGGGGGGGGAAATGCTACTCTAGAGCCCGTTTTCCTGAAGGGAAATCTTACTCTAGAGCCAGTTTTCCGGGGGGGCCTACTCTACAAGACCGGTATATTGACGACATATTATCAATCAACAATAGTTATTTCTGCAATATATCCCGGTGAGCTTGAGACAAAAGATACCAGGGTCTGACACATCTGTTTCATATTCGGATATTTTACTTGAAAAAGACGTTAATGGTAATCTAACAACCAAGCTCTATGATAAACGTGAAGACTTTAACTTTTCTGTCGTCAACTTCCCTGTTGCGGCTATATAATTACCTTTCATCACCTGCATACGGAGTTTATATCTCTCAGTTGATTTGATACGCAAAAGCAAGCTCGACTTAAGTACAATTTCTTAAACGAGGTAAATCATTGACAAACACGTTGATGAAACAAGAATATCAGCAGTCTCGTTTAAAGTCATCATTTCGTAAGTTCTATGGTCGATACAATGACCTTGTCAGCAAATACAATTTATCATCGAGTCAAATGCTGACTGACTTTTTTCATACTAATTATTAGTCCATTTTTATATACTGAATTGACGACGTGTTTTCCCGTTATTTTTCGGTCAGAACAAGGAGCACACGGCGGATGTGACCGGTCGGCAGGGGATGCTTACTCCTCCATGGCACCTGATCCCACCTCTAATGTTTTGAAGGTCCGTATTTGCTCTGATTCTATTTTGTATTGTTTTATGGACTTTTGAGCTTGAACACTTTTCGTTATCTCCATATGTTTCACTTACGTGTAAGTCTCCCAGTTAATTCGGTACACATGGACATGCTCTACAAACGATCATTTCCTAAAACGAGTCAAGTTATAGACAAACAAGTTAAAGAATCAAGGATATCAACAGTGTCGTTTATAGTCCTCATTTCGACAGTTCCACTGTCCATAAAATGACCTAACCAGCCTATAAAACTTATAAATAAGTTAAATGCTGACTGACGTTTTATGTACTACTATGTTACTGTTAGCCCATTACTTAAACACTACATGAATTGTATACATTTTTTTTACCGTTTGGCTGATCATGACAAGGAGTACACGGCTGGTGTGACCAATCCCACTACGTATGGATTTGGATGTGGTTGCCCTGTTAAGTTTGTAATGTGAACTTAACTACTGCACCTTGTCGCCATATTTCATGATCTAAATCCTTTATTATGGAGTAAAATATATAAAAACAATCTTTCGAATTTATACAATGGATTAAAAAATTACAAAAATCATCAATTATATTATTGTGTCGCTTATGGATTAAAACACATCTTTTTTTCCAAATTCCTAAGTTTTATGGTTGATACAATGACCTTTGTAGCAAATAAATCTATTATTAAGTCGAATGTAGACTAACGTTTTCACACAAATTACACATGTATCCAGCCATTTCTTAACACTGACTTGTTTACAGATATTTCCATTTCTTCAATCATGACAAGGAACACGTACACAGCATACATGGCCGGTCGACAGGGGATGCCTACTCCTCCATGGCACCTGACCCCATCTCTGATATTTTTGTAGAGGTTTGTATTTCCACCCCCAGTTTGTTTTGTTTCATTGGACCATAACCGTGATTACCTTTCGTTATCTCCCTTCACCCATCTTTTAGTGTGATTCACTATCATTTCAAAAGTAAAGTTTGGTCCAGGTACTGGAATATACCACGGATATCTGGAATAAAGCCCTTGACGGGAAAGTTCGTTATGAGCGATGCCCAGATGGCGTTTCATAATCTTAAATTTAATATCTTGAAAAGCAAACTAGTTTTAGTTTTACTTCTTGACAAATAGTCTATTGACAAAAATAACATTTCACAGCTGTTTCGTATTTGGATTTTGTTTTTTACTTTTAAAAGACGTTAATGGTCATATCTCCATACTTCATAACACTATTACATAAGGTCAAAGAATGCGTAAAGATCTTTTTTAACCCAATATAAGAGTCTGTAGCTTAGTACACACAAGATTACTTAGCCCCTGGCTCCGGGGCTATAACACAATAGCTGTAACACTAAGACTGGCTCCCTTTCAATCATACTTTTACAGTGACAAAAGGAATACAAGTATATAGAGTAAAAGTGAGACTGAGATCAAAAGTGAGCTCATCTAAGTCTTATGTCCCCGTAGCCTGGCCTTGGATCTATAAAAGTTGGACGAGCTCACTTTTGATCCAAGTCTCACTTTTCCACTATATATATTTCTTTGGAAACGTTGAACTGGGATCAACAGTAAACTACACCATACTACAGCTGTACTACTGGCTTGTATAAAAAATAATTCAAAAGAAAAAACAACAACATAAACGTTTTTGACGACTCTATGTAAATAATCAGTAACATGAATACACGTTTAATTATATGTATTTGTACACTTTCATCTTCCAAGAACTTGAAAGGCACGGTGTTGTAAAATCTTCCATGTATTAATTTGTATGAGCGTTTCACACGAACACGTGATTCCCTGTAATAACAAAGCGTCAAACATAGGTTTTGGGCTCTCGAAATGTCCTTTGTTTCATTTTGTATAATGTTGATGTTCTTATTGAAATTTCAGCACACTCTGTTGAAAATTTTCCCCTAGACACTTTCCAACAATTCTGAATAGCACTGTTAAAACGACTAAATGGTTCACGCTCAACAATGAAGCATCCAATTAAAATGGACAAAAATGACGTAAAATACAAAAGTGACGTCAAGAAAGTTACAGTTGAGTGTATGTATACACCATTTAAATTGATAATCGTTATCGTGAAATAGAATGACGTCAGAAGAAAATAAATGACAGACGAACTTTGGAAGAAACGAAGTGCCCTAATGTCATTTTCACTAATGTGTTTGTCTGTAACGGCAATATTGCAGGGATTTTTACATAATATGATAATGTAAAGAACAGCTTCAAGTATGAAAGGAACAGCTGTTGTTATAACAGTTTGATAAACAGACCACACAAGAGCGTGAACGTTCTTAGATGTCCAGTCCGTGCCGCAAATCCCCAAATCTACAAAGACACGTCATTCAATTATCACAATTATAAACAATAAAATCAAGTGCATAGAAATTATTACTACTTGAAGAAGGGATTTATTTTATACATTCTCTTTAAATCATTTCATTTTTTACACTTCAAATTCCTTAAATTATGCAGCAATATGTCTTTATCACCTGCAGACAGGATTGATCTCTCTCAGTTGATTGGATACGCAAGAGCACGCATGCTCTACATATGAACAATAATTTAATGTCTAATGAGTCGACGAAACAAGAAAGATCAACACTCTCGTTTAAAGTCATAATTTCCTAAGTTTTATGGTTGATACAATGACCTTGACAGCAAATACAATCTATCATTTATATAAGTTTAATTCTGACTGACTTTTTTCGTACTGATTGTTAGGCCTTTATTTACACACTGAATTGTTTTACCGTTATTTCCCGACAGCAAATACACATTATCATGTAACCGTCTGGATGCACTCCATGGCACCTGATCCCACCTCTGATTTTTAGAGGTCCAATTTTGTTCTGCTCTCATGTTGTAAATTTTGAATTTACCTGGTGGTAGTAACAAAATTTACAACATGGCAACTAGTTGTCATGTTGTAAATTTTGTAGTTACTACCACCCGGTATATTCATAATTTACAACTTGACACTCCTCCTAATTTGTATTGTTTGTGGATTTTTGAGCTTGAATACTGTTCATTATCTCTATAAATTTCATGTACACTTTTGTCCATACCTATGGCCACGAAAGTTTTTATTAAAAAAAATAAACAAAGCAGAGATATATATGATTTCTGTAAGGTAAAAAAAGCCACATAATTTACTAGTAATAAGCACCATCTCTTCAATTAGTAATTGTAAAAATAAATAATCGATCCTGTTTTCCTGATTAAATGTAATAGGAAGATAGGAAAAATTATCGTTAGTACCATTTTCAAGAGATAATACAAACCCTGAGAGGTTAGAAACACGTTTAGGTAATCCTTATATTCCTGTTCATCAATGGTGGTATTTATTATTACATCTTGCACATTGAAGGCTTGAGTAAGATCTGGATACCACACTATGGATTTGAAGACTTCACCAAGGGATCCATTGGTATGATTATACCATAGTTCTTCAGCGATAGGCTTAGAAGGACAACGAAACAACATGTCGAATCCTACTCCAGTCTGCCTTAGCTGGACTACCTTGATGCCTAAATTTTCCTCAAATGTATGCCTAAATAAAAAGGTAGGATTTGGCAAGATCCTTTTATTGATTTCGTTTTTTAGTAGGTATGAGTACCAACTAGGAAACAACACGTGATTTATTGTTCCATTATCTCCTAGAGGGTAGTAAGACAGAGAAATCCTCAGGTGTCCTGCAAATATAGAACACAAATTAGGAAGAAAAAAATAAGCTTATTCACATATACATTGTATTTATATTCAACTACTTTTGATAAAGATAAGTTCTTTAATTTGACTTTTCAATTAACCAGGTATTTGAATAACACTCTTTAGGGAATGCAGAAATCAATTAAATCATGATATCTGACAATACACTTTATATACGAGGACTGTTCAATAAAAATTGTCCTGAGCTCTATGATATACAACATAAAAATCATAAGACATTAAGCTTGACTTTCTCTCTTGATTGAATCTTTAATGAATTGATTTCAATTTAAGTATCCACTTTTCATCATATAGTTTCATTGTATCACTGATGATATTAAATTGACTTTAAGACACATAGCAAAATTGATAAGCATCATTTTGGGGGTAGTTTACACTGTTTTAAAGAAACATTTGACAGTAAAAAAAACTTAGTACTCAATGATCACCCTTTGTTTTGAAAAAGTGAGTGAAAACGACATTGTGTAAGAATGTCTAAACGATTATTTAAAAAAAAAAAGAAATTGTAGCTATTCACGTTTGTCTGAAATTCAAACAGATAATTAAACTTGAATCCATTGCTTTAAACCCCCAAAACAAATTTAAATAAGATGCACTTGACAAAAACAACAAGGTTTGAGAGAAAAAGAATTGCAAATTAAAGCATAAAAAAGTTTTATATGCCATTTTCTTAAATATTAGTGTTCTTGTTATTCAGATTCTTATTCGGGAGGCGGTTTAATTTCTGGAGAAGTCTAGAAAGAATATTTTTTACAAAAAAGAAATCGAAAGGTTTATGAGAGGATGGAACCAGAATCATGCAAGAATCCACTGCATTAAATTTCTTCGTGACAGCGTCCAAACCCACACGCCATGAGGTGTAAATGAGTTTTTGGGATAAACAGAAAGTTAATGTTATGTCACATCAACAGTATTCGTCCGATATTTTACTCTTTGACTTTTCCAAATTTGAAAAAAAAACACCTTTCAGAAAGAAGAGACAAATCCAGGATATCACGGAATGTGTCATATTCCAGTATAAAGGGCTATACCGGTTCTCAAAATGTGTTCTAAAATCAACAGCTTAAAAACGTATGACTTTTCACATTTATACACAACCAATCCTCATGATAAATTAAAGTTCGGGCTTTTTTATATCATTGATAGCTGCTTATTAAAATAAAAATGGAACTCGTAAATTTACTAACCTTGTAACTTAGTCATTTACAAAATTATTTTGTTAAAACATTCTGATTGTACACACAAGTACTCTGAAGTTGACATCAAAAAGATGCTAGAGTTTCTAAATGACAATATCTACAATATCTATCTAGTATGTGGTTTTTGGAGACCAGGTCTTCCAACAATCTATTGAAATTCACATGGGTACCAATTGCGCCCCGTTATTAGCAGACCTAGTTTCGAATTCATATGAAGCAGAATTCGTCAAAAATCTTATACAGGAAAAGGAGAAAACACTTGCCGTGACGTTCAGCTCAACATTTAGATATATCGACGATGTAATGTTAATCAACAATGGTAATTTCCATTCTTATGTCGATACAATATATCCTGCTGAGCTTGAGAAAAATGATACCACAGTGTCTGACACATCTGTTTCATATCTCGATATTTTACTTGAAAAAATGTTAATGGTAATCTAACAACCAAGCTCTATGATAAACGTGTTGACTTAAATTTTTCAATCGTCAACTTCCCTAAATTACGCAGCAAAATACCTTAATGACCTGCATAAGAAGGTTATTCGATACGCAAGAGTATGTACAATTTCTAAAACGAGGTAAATTATTGTCAAACAAGTATCTGAAACAAGAATATCAGCAGTCTCGTTTAAAGTCACCATTTCGTAAGTTTTATGGCCAATATAATGACCTTGTCACAACTATAATTTATCATTGAGTCAAATGCTGAATGATGATTTTCATACTAACTGTTAGTCAATTATTTACACACTGAATTGAGGACAGATTTTCCCATTACTGAGTATTTCCCGATCATGACAAGGAGTACACGATTGTGTGACCGGTCGACAGGGGATGCTCACCCCTCCATGGCACCTGATCCCATCTCTGATGTTTTGGAAGTCCGTATTGCTCTGCTCCTATTTTGTATTGTTTTATGGACTTTTTAGCTTGAATATTGTTCCAGGTTTAAAAAAAAACATATCCATATATTTCACTTTAAGCTTTTAAAGTGTTTATTATTTGCTTTAACGATCACGGATAGATAATGAAAGTATAGAAGTGATGAAGAATTGGGGATTACTTAAATTCATATTTCAATCATATTTCATGTTCAGATTGTATTTCAGATACACTGTATATTCTAAGGATATTAGACCAGTTTTAATATTTTTTATTCACTCGATTTAGCCATTTCTACCTAATTATCCAACAAAGCTGTCACGTCGGATAATAGGCTAGGACTCTATTAGATGATGTCATTGCCTCCAGAAAGTTGTAGTAGACTTTCAATGCTATCTCTGATATATTTAGAGGGATTTTGACTAAAATAGAACATTTAGGAGAAAAAATATTGCATGTCTTTAAAGTCCAGATTGATCTTCTACGACATTTTTTTGATGAGTTAGATTTAACGCTTTTACGTATCTTTCTGGATGTTACACATAGAATATATAGCGTGTTTTGTAAAAGATAGATAAATACGTTCTGTATTTAAATCGAACGTTCAACAAATCTCTACATTTTGTCCAGTTTATATTTGCTTAAATACATTCATATGGTCACAAAGCATTTTCTGATATTTTTGATATGTTTATGTTTAATAGAAGCTTTTATATTTGCTTGAATTTCCTCATTAAAGAGCTTTTCAGTGTTTAGGTATTGAAAATATTAAATTATAAATGAAATGAATTATTAAAAAATTCATCATCCATCATATCAACATAAAGAAAATCACAAACAGAAAACGAAAAAGCAAAAAGGATACACTAAAATATTCCTTCACCGAGAATCATGACTCTACCTTAATCCAAGATAAATTGAGTAAGGGACTATGTCATGGCAGCCACCTACCGGGTAGTTGTATTTTTAAAAAGAATGTTCAATATAAAAAAATACACCTTAACTGATTCACAGAATCAAATAACTGATTAAAGAACATTTACATCGTATTTATAACTTTGGCCATGCTGGAAAGAAAAGGCATCGTTATTTAGGATTCTATAAAAGAAATTATTCACACAAACGTGAGGACTCACACTGGCATCGCGATTCATTAACAGAACTGTTTTGTTTTCAAGGGGAAAATGAGTTTATTCCTCAGATTTCCGAGAGGGTTAGGTAAAAACTGTGAGAAACTCATGTTAAGAAATAAAGGACAGAGTAGTTCATTAGAAAGCTCGAAAATTCCCTATTTGAAATACATGTACATGGAAAAGGGAATGGATCTTAAATACTAACACTGTCATGCAATGTTAGTGTACTCCGTAATTGTAATTACGAAGGAAAAACGGATTTTGTATGTCTCCAAAAGAGCACTTAATGATACAAACTACTGGAAGAATTTTTTTGTGTCTTTTGGCGCCTCTTAACTTCTTAGGGCAATCAATGCAAAATACCTGTAGAAAATTGCAATGCATTTTTCTTTGATTTGAACCATCATTTCTATTGTAAAAATTACTTTCTCTAGTTTGATACTTTATTAATCACTTTTCATAGTAATCACTTTTAACAGCTGTTTTAATTAGCACCTCATTTTACAAAGAGCATGACAGTTTGCTTGATGGGGCGTGCTAAAATTTTGTGTGCTGGTTATCATTTTGCTCATCGATTGGATCAATGAAATCAATACTAATTTGCATATGAAACTCGGAATACAACAATAGCCTGATAAAACTGACCAATCACATTGAATGATTGTTTACCAGTACAGCATTTGTAGTCAGCAGCAACACGTGGTCAGTCAAAGCCCGTTTTCTGTCCTAAAAAAAGCATACATGTATTATATTTGTTGTAATTTGACCAGATGTTTCTTTTTAAAGAATGGATTAAGACTATTCTGCTTCTGTTGTACCATATATGTACCCTTTTACTAAGCTAAATGTATTCAAGCCTATCTTATTGCTGTGTTCTGTGTTTCAGAATTTCAAAATTCCAATAAAAAATGATAATCAGGCATACGAAATTTTAGCACGTCCTATCAAGCAAACTGTCACGCTGTTAGTAAAACGATAATACCTATCTTTGGGTAAAATTTCACTCTAAAGATTACTCTGTTTACCTGATCAATACAGAGGGCTCAAGCTTACAGTGGGTGTAACATATGATTTCTTTCGTTTGAGGAACGAATTAGACAGAAATCAATTTCTACTTGGTGTGATAATGAATTAAAAAAGGTTTTCATTCGAATACCTGGATATCACGTGGTTCTTTAGAACCGTCTCGTTAGCAAGGCTATATAAGAGGTGAATAGTGGTTTAAATACCAGTTTAGGACTAACACATAAAGTTTAAATTTTATCATGATTTACAGATATACAAATTGATTTTCATATTTTGCATATGTTATGTACACTCGCAAATAAAGCTTACCAAATGGTGTGTTTGTGTAACCATTTGAAAGTAATGATGGATTTAGATGTTTATTTTATTTCTCCTAGGTACCTTGGCCTATCGCTTTTGATTTCAGGGATGTGCGCTTCTCTCATTTTATTTATCGTTTATGGAATTTCAAGATTATTTTTAAAAAAACCGTTCATTATATCTTATCAACACTTTTAAAAATGATATTTTGTCCTTCATTTTAGGCCTAGTCTGTTGTAGATGGATTACATGTATATACATGTTCTATAAACATATACCGGTACGTATGATTTTTATTATTTACAGAATTATACTTCAAATCAAAAACATATGTTCTGTTTAAGGCAATTCTCTTTGTCATTAAGGTTTGTAAATGACATCTCTTTCAAGACTGCGAACATTGATTTGAACCTTGTTCAAAGCTCTGACATATGATATTTTGTAATTATCCTTTCTCTCTCGCTCCTTTCTCCATTTTGCGTTTAAGACTGTATTTTTTACCTCTATAATAGGAATATTCTCCAAGACCATAAAGTGGCCCAGTAGCTATCAGAATGATCAAGATGAAGATTCCCACGACGATCATATTCACATTCTTGACTGAGAAAGTTGACGGGTGATCAACTTGGAGCATAAATTTGAAATACCTGTGATAAAGAAAAATAATAAAAACGTGGCAGGAACAATAAATTTGCTATTAAATTAAAAGAAACAAGCTAAATTGGCTTCTCTTCAAAATTTAATTATCCTCCCTCGATAGCTAGCTGTGTGTTCTCTCTGGCTATGAGTGCTCCTAAGCAAAGTTATTGTTGTTTAGTACAACTGACATTTAAAGATCATTAGCGAATTTAATTTCAGGGAACATGTTGCTGTTTTGGGACTCAACAGTGAAAACTCATTATAAAGCAGGTTCTAAGTATCTTCATTACACATTGCAACTTTTTTTTCGTGTGCTAGGAATTTGAAATTTTTTTTAAACCTGGAGCGAAAATGGTGAAAAAGCAGCATTATATTCCTTTTTTATTTACATCATTGCACTTCATTGTGTTCGAAAGGTTATACTTATTTTTATGTAAGTGTCAAGTTAATGCACACATTTACCTTTTTAAAGATTTTTCCTATATATTCCTTTGTAAAACAAAGAGTTTTATGCAAACCACCTGTCCACATGCGTTTCATCTTTCCTGGAAGTTTTAGTTATATTCCTATGTAAAACTTTGAGGCAAATTAACATTTTTCCCACAGTGAAAGTTTTTAAAGATTTTCTATATATTCCTAAAAAGAGTTTTGAAGGAAAATCATGAATATTATTTCATCTTTCCTGGCCCAGTGGTTCAAGAAGATTTTTAAAGAGTTTCCATATATTCCTATGTAAAACTTTGTTTTTGGCCTTATCACAAACACAAAGCAAAATATATTTAAAACTTTGATCGTTTTGGCCCCACTATTATCACTATCAAAATATTTATTTGTTTTCCAGTGGTTCTATATATTCCTTGTAAAACTTTGATACATTTTGGCACTTTCATGATTTGAACAAACTTGTAATGACCACATCAGTTTCCTCTCTGGTTCTTGATTTTTTAAAAATGTCATTAATATTTTTCTAAAAATACAAAAGGGCCTGTACTTTTACTTTTGCCAAGTTTGGTTGAAATTGGTCCAGTTTAGAAGAAGATGAAAATGTGTTTACGACGACAACAACGACAACAACGACAACGACGACAGACAACGGACAAATTTTGATCAGAAAAGCTCACTTGAGCCTTCGGCTCAGGTGAGCTAAAAAGCAGCATTATATTCCTTTTTTATTTACACTATTGCACTGCATTGTGTTCGATTTTAATTGAAAGGTTATACTTATTTTTATTTAAGTGTCAAGTTAATGCACATATTTACCTTTGTTTCAGAACCCAAAAAGTTTTATGCAAACCAATCGGAAGTTTGTTATTTATAAGAGTTTTAGTTAGGCAAATTAACATTTTTCCCACTGAAAGTTTGCTTGAAAAAGAGTTTGAAGGAAAATCATGAATATTGAGAAAAATTGAATATTTCATCGTTAAGTTGAGCCAATACTTAAGTTCCTTATCACAAACACAAAGCAAAATTTTAGTTTACTATTATCACTATCAAAATATTTATTTGTTTATACACTTATACATTCATTTTCTTACGTAATGACCATTTTTCTCTATTTGCCAAAAATACATGTTCTTTTACTTGCAAGAAGTTTATTGTATGGAAAGCTTTAAGAAACAAATCTCTATACCTTTCCATTGCAGCGATACACAGAATCCATGTAGAACCAGAGTAGACCACTAGATCGACAAATCCGAATAGCTGACAGCCAAGGTCATCAAACGGCCATCCACCTAAAAAAGATTTAATAAATTTTATAGGATCAAAAAGGTTCTTTAAAAATCTATACTATGGAGGATGTTGTCGAATACAATTTGCATACTTCTGATCATATTAATACATGTATTCTATGAACTTGATGCTGGTTTTAAAAATTACCATAAATATTCTCTCCAAATAAAAAACCGAGGTATACATATCATAGCTATATTTGAATGGGGAAAAAATGAAAATACATATACAAAGTTAACGTTCATATTTTTATTTCTGTGTCTGATCTACTACATAAAAATATTAGATAATTTATCATTTATAAAAGTTTACAGTGTTCAAATGAGAAAAGTTTCATTTTTAAAGAAGTGCTGTTTTTGCCCAGTTTTCCCCTCATTTTCACGGCGGATATGACCGTCCACAGGGTATGTTTACTCACCTTAGGCACCTGATCCCATTTCAGGAATTTCCGGAGGTCCATGTGTTATTACTGTGCCATGTTTACATTTTTAAATGTGTGTAGTTTTATTAGAACGATTGCTTTTTCTATCCTCACCTTTTTGTTCTACATTTTGTACCTGTCTCAAACAATCATTCCAACTATCAGCTTATTGTGTTCCGTCTTTCAGATTTCCATAATACTATTTTCCCTTGATAGCCGATTTCTTTGTGAACTTAAAAAAGAGGTTCACTTGCACACTCCCTCTTTTCAACACTTAACGTCAATTGACGCCATCTGACTGCATACATTGTTGTTATCTAACCTGCTTTATCAATTGCATTTACATGACCACATTAACATCCTGCTACTTTATAAGAATTTGTAATGAAGGAACACTTGCAGCTAAAACAAATCTTCTTAATGCACGTATTACTAAAAAAATTGTTTAGCCTAGATCTAGATAAGAATGTTGCATGTTTAAAGATAAATTTTATTGGATTTAAGGATTTGCTGGAATTAGTTAAACTATCACAACGTTTTGTGATATAACATTACGCAGGATTATTGCTTGAACATGGTAAATCTTTTATTTAAGGAAAAAATCTAAAACAATATGATATTAACTTTTGAATTTCTCTGTAAAAATACAAGCTGAAATGGATAAACATAACTAGCTTATTTCATTATCTTTCAATGTCATGTTATATACATGTAATACTAATATTACATGATGTGGAACATTTTCACTTACTTAAGTGTTTAAGTGAAATATAGAGAAAATGTACAATAAAAGTCCATTCAAACATTACAAATCAAAAGCAGAGCAAACACGGACATCTAAAGCATAAGTGTGATCAGGTGCCATGGAGGAGTGAACTTCCCCTGTTAAAAGGTCACGTCCACCGCGTGCTCCTTGTCATGACAAAAAAAAAAAAAAAAAAAACCCCAAGAAAATCAGTCCACAATTCAGTGTGAAAATAATGGCCTAACAATTCAAAAGAAAAACTTAGTCAACATTTGACTTGATGATAAATTGTACTTGCATACAAGGTCATTATATACAACTTTAAACGAGACTGCGGATATTCTTATTTCATCACCGTGTTTGTCGAAAGGTTGACCCTTTTCAGGTATTGTACGTACGTTGAGAACATGCTCTTGTGTATCGAATCAACTGAGACACATAAACTCCATATGCAGGAAATAAGGGTATTATTACTGAAAGCAAAAGACACATTTTCTAGTGAAATATTTTTCGTAAGACTGACCCCCCCCCCCATCCTTTATATTTTTAATCTTTAAACATTGACAAAACGAACAAAAACAATATGCAGTTAATGAAAGTGATATTTTAGTTTTTGATGGCATCTATGGTGGAATCTTTCTACTTTTTTCATGGTAAAAAAAACCTGAGTGCATGAAAACATAAATACTTGTGATAACTCTTTTCCCCCTTTATTTTTGCACTGTTTTTATGTGGTAGGGCTAATTTCTGTAAGATTTCTTATGGAATATATCCTCAATGATTATACAGGCCTGATAGCGTCATTTAGTGTTTATGAAAAATGTTGCTAAAGAAGGTAAAACTCTTTGAAAAATTAGCTATTGGTGTTGTTTACCCAAATGTATACCTCAAGAATGTTGTCCACACAAATTTAACTATAGTTTTGTCCTTTTAAAAATATATAGCACGTATAGAATTTCGTAAGCATACATGCACTAATCATGAATACAGTGTATATGACAAAAATCTTTAACGAACCTTATTTTTTATACATTTATCATTATGTCAAAAATGAACTTGAAGGGCTCTATCATTTCAATTTGCCCTCTTTCTGAAATACGTATTTACTATTTTGTCAGTTTTAAAAATATATTTTATTTAGTATGCAACATTGTTTAATATATATATATATAGGTTTAATACCATAGCTTTCGGGGGGAAATACTTTTTTTAGTAGAAGGCTCTTTATCTGTATATTAAGATTATAACTGATTGACATCACACTCACTAATCAAGAAATCATTCCCACTGAAACACATAAAATAAAGGAAATAGATAAAATTGAAAGTGAATTATATTTACCTCGGGGATTTTTTATGCATAAAATAATAGTTTTGACATTTATTTCTGTTGAAATTATTATCACCATTGATTGATTTAAAAATAGATGTTAAAAACTTTCGTTCTTCATACTTTCATTTCAAACATCTGGTTTTAAGCAATCCTAACTAAAATAATTGCTTAAGCATTAGAGTAAAACAAATCGCACAATTTATTCAAATTTCCTTTGTCGTTTAAATGGTCATTGACTTTCAACCATATGTTGGTCCTGAAAATGTATGAAATTGAATTTTTTCATAAGTTCATTTTATAGTACTTATTGTTTTTGTAAACTTGATGTATGGCTGAGTATTTTGAACAAAGAAATATGCACGCTAACTCTCGGTTCCCGCCTACATTTTGGAACCATTTAATTCAATATGAATAGCAAATTGGCCATAAAATCTTTGTTTAATACAAAGAACAGTTCAATGGTAATTGAAGAATTGTCTTAATACCAGCTCTAAACAGTAAATTATCCATAATTCCAGTTCTTGAAAAAAGGGGGGTAGACAATATTTTCCATTGAAATCGGAGTTTCAAGCATCACCATATTTTGAACAGTCTTGGATATGATAATTAACATATGCCCCCCCCCCCCCCCGCGTCACACAAAAATCTTTTGTATAAATTTGTGAAATAACATTCCATATTACTTGTAAAAAGGAATTTTCAAGCATCACCATATTTTGAAATAGTCTTGGATATGATTAAATGTTCCTTATATCTTTTCTTATGTTTTAGGCAAATAACTAAAACAAAACATAAATATATCAATAAAATATAATGTTTCAGTTGTAAATCGCTTTGAAATTGGTGGAAAATAAGCATTTTTATCGTTTTTATGCGCTAGGATCGAAAGATCCGAGACGTATATTGTTTTTGTCCTGACTGTCTGCCTGTTTGTCGGTTTATCTATTTGTCTGCAAACTTTAACCTTCGCCATAACTTTTGAACCATGAATGAAACTTCATATTTGGTAAGCATACTCCACTAATTAAGCTCGTTCAAATGACATCAACGTTAATGACCTTGTGACCTTGACTGTGATCTATATGCTAAAAATAGCTTTTTTCCTGCAAACTTTAACCTTCCCCATAACTTTTGAACCATAAAAGATAGAGACTTCATATTTGGTGTGCATACACCACTGATTAAGTTCTTTTAAATGACACCATGTTTAATGACCTTATGACCTAGACTGTGTCCTATATGCTAAGTATAGCTTTTTTGTCGGCAAACTTTAACCTTCGCCATAATTTTTGAACGAAGAAAGATAGAGACTTAATATTTGGCATGCCTACTCCACTAATTAAGCCCTTTCACATGACACCAAGTCAATGATATTGTGACTTTGACTGTGGCCTGTTAACTAGCTAAAATTAGCTATTTTGAATCTTCGCCAACTGAATCATGAGTTTTATTTGGTATGCATTCAAATCAAGTTCTTTCAAATGACACCAAGATCAATGACCTTGTAACCTTGAGTGTGACCTATATGCTAAATATATGTTATTTTTAACTTTGTTGCCGCCGGACGCAAGGTGTTTCACAAACACATCTTGTTTGTCAATAAACATATGCCCCCCCCCCCTCCCCCCTTGTCACACAAAAAGTTTTGATATGAATTTGTGAAATTACATTCCATATTGTTTTACACGGGGAGGGGGGGGATGAAAATTTTCCATTTTTCTTTGGTGAAAACACAAGTTTTACCAAAATTTTAGAGTTATCTCTCTTTGTTTTCCCAAATGAATAATGTTTTTTGAAAATCCATATAATTATCTATAGAAAATATTAAAAATTCATCGAATATGTTTACTTTTGAAAATTAACTTGGAGGTAGGCGGGAGAACAATACTATCGTTCGCAGTTCTCTTGATTACCTGAAAAATAAATATGAAATGATGCTAGCTCTCTAAATACAAATAAGTATATTAGAGATACTTTATTTAATTTCCACGGACCAAAACTGATTATTAAAAGCTTGTGCGACAAAAGAAATTTGAATAAATTGCGTGTTTTTTTTTACTCTAATGCTTAAGGTAGAAATCTTCTCATAATTTTTGTATTTAAAAATTAATGAACTTTTCACAGAATCAAGACGACAATATCAGTAATGGTATCACTGAAATTAAATTTGACCGTTTTATATTAGAGACAAGGTCAGGTCAGAGTCATTACCTTTTTTCTGGACATTGATAAAAAAAATTACTGTTGCAAATTTTGTGATCCCTACTTGTATTTCAAAAGATTAAATGTTTTTCTTTTTGCATAAAAAGATATTACCACAAAGGGCCTATCACAAAGGTGATATTCCCAAATTGACATAAATAAGTTAACTAAAATGAATATTGGCTAATCCGAATTTTACTCTACTTTTCTTAAATTTTTAGTATATATTAGTTATTTTTTTTGCTTCTTATATTTAAATTTTTCCTAATTTTTACATATGGTTAAGTTGTCACATAAAGATA